TGCAGCATCTGAAAGATCAGCCTAGAACAGCCCCACAGAGGGTCTGGCTACTTGACCTGCCTAGGACCTAGTTAGGACCACTCTGTGTGATTTGCCTCTAGGGAAGCCTGTGTTTTATTGATTATTCTATATATAATTTGAAGACCATGAAATTTCTCTTTTTAATAAGCCTTCAATAGATGTTGCTGTCTTTCTGACTTAAAGTGTTTATGTAACGTGTGTATGTTACTGGGCATGTATTCACTCGGACACTGGTGGAAGACAGTCCTTTCCCCCGGGGGAGGAATTGTGCCCAGATGCCTTGGAGGGGTGAGGCTGCCACTGGAATGAAGATGTAAACACAAAGATCTTATAGCAGGAACCTGAGACCACCCAGCCCTGTGCCTGCTCTACCCCACAGGAGCCCTCTCCACCCTTCCATCCCAGCACTATGCAGCTGGTGCTGCCTCCCCAGGACTACGAGAAATCAAGTAGAAAAATAACCACTGTGCTTGTGAAACTCAGGTTCTGTGGGTTGGGACACAAGTGATGAATAAGATGTGTGTGTGTGTGTGTGTGTGTGTAACACACACAAATACATATTTGTTAGGACAAAGGAACAAAACTAGAGTGGGTAGCTGGAGAAGACAAGTGCAGAATGCACAAGGAGTGTGGGATTCGGGAAGACATCCAGTGAGAGCCCACAGATGAGAACCCTCCAAGAAATGGGGTCCAAAGGAAGAGAGGCACAGGCTCCCTCGGAAGCCCATTACAAGCTGAGGAGAAAGGGAAGCAAAAAAGAGTACCCGTGTCCTTAGGGACAGCCCCGCAGCCAGGGACCACAGCAAGAGGAAAAGAGAGGAGGCTGGCAGCCGGTAGGCTGGGGCAGTTTGCAGCTCTCTGTCCATGCTGGGAAGCTGGAGAGGCTGCGTCAGAGGGATGCTGTGGTTTTTGAGACTCTTCTGGCTGCAGAATGGGGAAAGTCTAAGTGAACAGGCAGGGGAGGATATGGAAGGAGCTTGCCAGAATAACCCAAGAAAGTGACATGATCAGAGGGAGAGAGAAATGGCTGGCGGGGGGTGCATGTCGGGAGGTGATGAGTGCTTTTTGGAGTCAATGTCAGGAAGCTGTGGCGGCCTTTTGCCAGCACAGGGGAGCACAGGATGTGCCTAGGAGACCATTGTGGGACAATCCTGCAGAGCCAGGTGCAAAGAGAAACAAGGTCAAGATCAGAGTCCAGAGTAGGAAGCCCAGTCTGCTACATTCCAATCTACAAATGGATGACGTGAAGTCCACTCTGGAAAGGAGAGGTCCGGGTTGCTTCCTTATCTCCCAAGGTAACCCTACAGGAGCAGGAAGTCATGATTCCTTTTCTGTTCCCTATTAGTTTCTGAAAATCCCTCCTTTTGAACATAGGATGGAAGCCAGACTCTCTCTCTGGTTGAACCTGATTGCCGTGGGTTAGCATGCTAAGCCCACAGACTCCTGCTGGGGCGTTAAATGACGCCTGTTTATTTTTAGCACATTGCACTTTAAATATGAGGAAATATTACCCACTAGTATAGTTTTTTGTTCTTTCATTGCTCCAGACTGAAGAAACTAAAACTATGTAAACAGAAATTATAGTTACAGAGGGATAAACACATCATGACCCTGGGTGAGTGGAAAAATCTTCCCTAATGGTGCATTTCAGAAAATGGATTACCCAGCCCCTGCCATTCTGGAAGGTAACACACCAATTCTATGCCTAGGTTTGCATCCTTAGCTGCAGAAAATATTTGAGTCTTCACCTTTGCAGTAGGGCTTTAAAAACAGAACTACAGATTTTAAAATGTGCCCTTCCATATCTTTATGTCCAAGCCAAAGGGGAAGTGGGAGGCAAGTGGAACCATGGGGCAACCTTAGAAAAGACGACCTTTGATGAATTGCTTCACATTAATGGGACTGTCTGCATGGGAACTTGGAAATGACATTATTACGCTTTGGGTATTTGTTTCAATGTAGAAAAAAAAAAATGATCGCCCATAGAAACAAAGGCCAGGGAATAAACTGCTGGGAGGGAATGGAAGGAAATTGTGGGGACGTTTATTGCATAACATTCTGCTGTTGTTTTTCCCAAGGGCCTTTAAGACCATGCATTAGATGGCTCAGTTTCCCTCCACTGTGAATGGACTCTGGATGGACTGCCCTACCCACGTGTTATGGACAGCTGTGACAGCCCAATACACAGGTTGTGCCATCCATCAAAGGACAGTGAGTTCAGCACGCAGCCCTCAGACAGCAAAGTCATTGTCTTTAAAGTCACCTAGAGCAGCAGCTAAAGAGCAAAAGGGACAGCCAAGGCATGGCACCTCCACCCAGAGACAGTCATGTCCATGTGTTGGGATGGACCTAGAGGCAGAGACCGCTGTCTCGCCCTGTGTTCGAGGAGCCAGAGGGGAGGAAAAACACCTCCCTCCTCACCACTGCTAGAGTCTCACTACAGTCCTGTCCAAGCATAGATTAAGCATGGCTTCTGTGGTGTAGGTTACTGGGGTCCACTCAGCCACAAGCGCACTGAATGGATGAGGCTTTTAACAGCACAGACTCATGGTCTACAAGGAAAGGGAACCTGCATGGCCATTGCCACCCCATGGTCCCTCTGTGAAGAGTCCCACAAATAAAGTCCATGACCAACATGACAACTCACTGCTGAGACAGGAAACATGCAGCGAGAAGCCAGCAGAGGTGGGTACCCTGCAGCTGGGCACCTGCAGGAGGCCTTAGCCTCACTCAGGCCAAGCCCTTCCTGAGCAGAGCCACCATCCAGGATCAGGTGGGACCTGCAGCTGTGTCTCGCTCCTGCAGTTGCAGGGCCTCCTCGCTGGGGCCATGCAGGCACACTGGAGACCAGAATTTACCAAGAACATGGAAAAGAACATGGTGCACGCTGACATCAGCATTTCTGTGTGGATGCACAATTAAATGAATGTGTCAGCAGCATCTACACAGCAAAGGTGCCCATGTGTGCAAAGCACAGGGTGACTTCCTCATGCCATCTTACAAGAAAAGCAGGGAACATGGAGGAGCAGACAGGGAAATTGGGTACTCTGGGGCCCCATTTGGGCTCACAGCCTGCTCCATGGGCTCTTTACTTCCTATTTCTGTATGGGAAGCTCCAAAGGTTGGCCTTACAGGACAGTTACTGCACACACAGACCTGAGCAGGTGATTTGCACTCAGACCTGGCTTTATCTGCATGACAGTCTTGCAAAAATGATCACTCTTAATGGTGAAAGTTGGACTTGAATGAAGAAGATCTTTTCAGAGCCACTGTGCATCACTGTGTGTGCAAATTCTATGTCTTTTCTCCTAGGAAATGTTTAAATTTGTATTATTAGAAGTATCACATTTCTGTCCACTGTGAGGCTCATCTCAGAAGGCTCCTGTTTACATCTAGTGTAATACACAATAGCTTTAGGCACTTCAGAGACAGACAGAAAACTCTAATAACAAGTGAATAATCTGTACATTATCATCATCATGACTGTGAATCTGTGTGTCCAGATGGAGACAGACTAAACACTGTCTAAATGTCCCTCCAGCAAGTCTGATCGATCTGATATTGGGCCTGCTATTGATTTAAGATAAGGGCCTCATCTGGTGTCTGCTTCTGTATCGATCTTTAGATCATTGCAACCATAAAACACAATTTCCATTTTATTGTAAACTGTAACTCCCACTCCAGAGAGCACCCCAGAGCACAAGCTGACAGTAAAAATAATAAAATGGGGTTTAGATGAAGGACGCTTTCTTTTTGCCTCTTCAACTCAGTAATTTTATCCTCTTTGAATCCACCTTCACATGTAGCACCCTCCTTGTGACCCCCAGGCAGACACAGCGGCCCAGCCCTTCACAAGTTGACTTTTGGGATGGATGGAGGAGGAGACTTGCGAGGAGAGAGCTGCAGGGTGGAGGTCAGCAATCTGTCCCCACACCAAGTCCCACAGGCAGGACCCCTGAACACCCATGGGTTACTATGCAGACTGAAGTCACTGCAATGGAGACACCCAGAGAGCAGGGGCCAGGCGGCACTGCATGGGTTATTTACTGGGGCTACATAAGGTGCAGCCCTCTGCAGAGGCCGTGCACACTCAGGGCATGCTGGGGGCTGACTGGGGTGGGGTCAGATGCTGGCTCACACCTTGCTCTTCTGTAGGCTGCTGGGCAGCGGGATGATCAAAGTCCACCAGAAACAAACCCAGAGTTGCAGCAGGGAGAGAAAGTGGCCAAGCAGCGCAGCACTCTGCAAAGGATCAGGGTACACGAGAAAGGCTACCCTGGAAGGCAACAGCTGGGCCTTGAGGCAGAACCCACATCGCTAGTCAGTGAGATGAGTGAGGCAGACACCAGAGACCAGAAGAGTCAGGAAAGGCTGCCAAGGGCAGATCTCTAAAGGCCATGGAGGAAGCCACCAATGAGTGCACAGACAACCTTGGTGGCCCGGAAGCCAGCTGATCGGGCAGCGGTACCGTGAGGATGTCCCCACAGCTAAGTAGTGTGGGAGGTGTCAGGTGGACACCAGATGAGGGGGAGGGCAGCAAGACGGGTCTTCAGGTCCACGACTCTCAGTGGAAGGACTGGACACTGCCTGAAGATCTTCTACTCAGGCAGCCTTAATGAAGATCAGCATAGGAACAGGATGAGGCCCTGTTCCTGTTCATGCATTGGGGTGGGGTGTGCAGGGTGCTGCTGCCCAGCCACCCAGGGGTGCCACCCAGAGAGTGGGAAAGGAGCCCTGTGAGCCCCAGCTGGGTGCTGACAGATGAGGCAGCGTGAAGGCCTTGGGGTGGGTGAGGCAGGGTGATGGGTGCCACACTGCAGCACCACCTAGTCTGCTCTGCCACAAGTGGGCTTTGAAGGGAGAGGAGAGGGCAGGAAGTGGGCTGGGGTACAGGCGCTGCTCCTTTGGGCTCCGCTGGCCCCTCTCCTCCCCCTATAACCCACAATTCCACCCGCAGAGAAGAAGGAAAGTGGACTCACGGACAGAGTTCTTGTGGTTGCTGTCCTTGCTGGGCAGCATCTTGACTCCCCTTGACTTCAGCTCAATTGCCTTTTTCACTGCAAGAAAGAAAGCAAACCATTAGCTGGAGGCTGGGCCTCCAGAAAATCCTGCCACAGCATGCTCCCCAACCCCAGCGCAGAGGCTGTGAGGTCAGGGAGGCCAAGCAGCGCAGGCAGCAATGGAGCCTGAGAAGTAGCCAGAGGCGGTCTCCAGAGCAGCTGGGTCACAGACACACAGCACCGGAGCTGTCACCTTGCATACCCACACCTGCCTGCTGTCCTCATCCTCTCCCCAGCTGTGCAAGCAGGGGCTGTCCCAACCTGCATCCTCACGATTCTTTGTTCACAGAAATTTATAAACATAAGCCGCGTACTCACGCAGTCCTATATTCACTCCATCTCTTAAAGATCCACAAACGCACATCAGTGTGCAGCCTGTGAGTGTGGGCCTTGCTCCAGCAGCCTGAGGTGAACCATGGACACCACCAGGCTTTCCAGACCTGGAACTGCAGGACAGGGAGGGCACACACCACTCTGGCTTCAGAGTGAGAGCTTAGGGAGCTGAGAAGCACCTTGCTGTTTGGGCTCCTGCACCAGACACAGATGTGTGAAGAGTGTTTGTTTAAAAAATAAAAATCAAAAAAGAGCAGAGCAGAGTCCCAGAGGAGCTTGGTGAGCTGTGTTGTCCTCCTCCCCTTTCTCTCCATCTCCAGTTGGAGTCCTTGCCTTCCCAGTAACCAATCTCCCCTCCGTGTCTGGGTTCTGGCTTTGAATTTCTTTTTCTGGAGAAGCCAAGCAGGGCAAAGACACATTACCCAGAGCTTGTGTGCCCCTGGGTTCGCTCTAGCTCCCCTCTTTTGCATGGGACGATGGGCCACTCAGCTGCAGCCCTGAAGACTCCCACCCAGCCCCAAGGACCAGGAACTCATCCCCTCCTGATCATGCCAGCACCAACCCTCACCCCACTCTGGGACACCCGGGTTTAGCCTCTGCCCCTGGGGGAGGAGCACATGGATCCTAGATCAGGACTCTGAATACCCCTGGATGGAAGGTCTATTCTGATCACATCTGTGTATGTAAGACACAGAGAGCAAAGTTAGCTGAGTATCATCGAAGTTACAGAGAAAGATTCGCTACTGATGTTTTTGTTTCACATCATTGAGAGGTAAGAGAGTAAAAGGCTCCACTCTACCTTTTCCCACTCACCACTCCCTAGAAAGCATGATTCACATGTGAAGGATGAAGCAGTCCACTGGCATTGATGTGGATGGCTCTTTTCTGTGTCCAGGGCTGCACTGGAGAAAACCTCCTCAAAGCAGAGAACTCACAGGAAGGCACAGCCTGAGCAGTGGGCTGGCATGTGAGGAGGCTTGGGGGGGGGGACAGAGAGGAGGCTGTCACAGAGAGGAGGCCCCGAGTGACAGGAGCAGCTCAGCACTGGAAACCGGGCACCACGTGAGAACTGCCCCCAGGCCTGGAGCATGAGGCTGGGTCTCAAGCAGGTTTTCCTAGCTGCACCTGTGAGTGGAATACAGGTTTCTAGCATAGCAGGTGGACATCTATTCTTAGATTTTGCTCAGAGCCCTGGGCATTGGAAACTTAGAGTACCACTGGAGCACTGGATGTTAGATACTTGGATTAGCAGATGATTGGCCATTGGAATTTAGTGTCCAAGTGTTCAAATCTGTATACTCAGGTTATATCAGAATGTTCCATGGAGATTCTTGAGTGTTACCAGAGTATTTGACTTTGGATTCTTATTGTCTGAGTTAGATGATAAGTTTTTAGGTTAGTACTAATATATTGAATGTTGAATTCTTAGGTGTTTATTGGACTAATTGACATTGGATTACTTTCTAGAATGTTTCTTCTCATGTGAGTTCCCTTGATTGAATAATTCCATGAGTTCAAGGAGTTTGGATCTTACACTGATTTGCTTCTTGGATAAGTCAGATAATCGGCCACAGGTAGAGGACCCCATGCCTCTTTAATCTAGCCATGAAATCTGTCAAGTCACCTACATGCTAAGTCTTAAAGGTCAACTCTTTCAGAACAGCATGAATCTTTTACGTACTGACTAGGTTAGCAGAGAAAGTGAGCAGAAGAAGGGACGTTACAGGTGCTGGAAAACTCTTCCCAGCTGGTTTAGGGAGGAGGAAGTCAGGCGGCAGGGTTGCATGGATCCGCATGGTCAGAGGCATAAATGTGTCCTGGGCTCCTTCCTTCAGGGAAGTGAAAGAAGCAGGTGACTGTGCCTCTCCCGCTCTTCTCAGAGCTGAGCCCCAGACAGACGTTCTACCTACTACCATGTTTTTAAGAATGATCTTGCCCAAGACTAACCAGAGGAAGGCAGAGAACCCACAGAGAGTGATCCTCTGACCCTCGGACCGTGATCTCCGCTGTAAGAGCTTGTGGTCACCAAGGCTTTGCCAGCCTCCGTCAGGGCCAACTTATCTCCTCTACACCTCCACTGTCCCCATCTCTCCAGCAAGCAAGAACCCACTCTAAGGGCACTTGCTGAAGCAAACCCCTCCCACTGAAGTCCACCCAGTGGCCACCCGGGGACGAAGCTGCTGTCACCTGCCACCTTTTCTGCCATTTCCCGCTCTGATCTTCTCATTCTCCTTTCCATACTGTGCTTATAAACAGCACAGGAAGGAATACAAGAGTGAGAATCTGTGACTCTCATAACTATCCTGTGGGCAGGCAGCACCCTGGGCCCTCCCTGGGCGATGGCCCCAGAAGGGCGATGGCCCCATCACAATTTGAGCTGGAAATTCCTTGCTGTGTGTCTCCCACCATCCCGCCTCCCTGTATAGAAATAACTTTATCTTGAAGAGACTCAGGAGATAGCAGATGAATGCACAGTAAACAGGAACAGCAGAATCGATGGGAGACAATATAGAGCATAAAACTCTAAGCAAATGTCACCCTATATAAACAGGCAGGACAAACACCATTCCAGTCACTCGGAAACAGCAGAAAGACACAGTGGCCCTCTGGGTGCCACAGGGTGTGGGATGTACGGGGACTCTGACAGTCTGATGAACTAATAAATTCCCTGATGCCACTAATAACCATTAGTTCGGTGAAGCTGAAATTTCACAAGGGAAATTGTAATTTACTTCTTTTGCAGTAAGACGGTTTTCCTGCTCTATGTGCTACTCATCTCCGAGCTTTGGCCTAGCCATGGCCTCACAGCCTCACAGTGGGCAGCGCTGCTTCCCTGGAATGTCCTGAAGGAGGGGCAGGAACACATACCCTCCTGTCTCCGCTCCGCTGGACCTTCCTTGCCTGCCTCCTTAGGTCCTCTTGTCCTCTGCCGTCTTCCTTGGGGTCCTTTTCTACTTCACTCTTTTCCTCCTCTCTTGCCTCCTCCTCTCCATTCCTTCTCCTCTTCTTCTTCCTTTCTTCCTTTTTCTTCTATGCATCCTGTCTCTCCTCTTTTCTACTCCCCTGGGGGCTGGGCAAAGAGAGTTCTGGAAGAATGATCTCAGCAGAGAGAAGTGGAGACAGAGGCCTGGCTGAGGGTGTGGGAGGTAATGCCCTGCCCTGACAACTCCTCTGCCCACACCGAGGTCATCTGAGTGCCAGGGTGAGTGACACTACCCCTGTCCATGGACAACAGAGGTGATTCTAGGGCCTAAGCTCAGCAGTACCAGGTCAGAACCACCAAGCTTCCTCTGCGTTCTGATGAGTTTCGTTTTGTTCAGTCTTGAACACACTTCATTTTCTGCTCATTAGCTTAGGCATTTTCTGTCTTTCTTTTTGCTTTTCTTGGTTGATGTGGAAGGTTTATGCTCTGCCTTCTTGCTTAGTATTTAAGTGGTATATATTTGCAATTCATTTGTTTAGGGAATTTGTGTACCCATGTATCCATCACATACACTATCACGTGATCATCTTCCATCTCTTCTCCATCCACTCTCTCCCTTTCCCCTGATTCCATCCCTGGATCCAGAAAGTCTACTCGACCCTGTGTCGGGGTGCCCAAGAGCTGCAATATGTATGGAAGTTGGGTCTGAGATTTCCTGGCCCTTCATGGCTAAAATGAAGTGTCAAGAATTCAGACTCAACTTCAGTAGTTGCGTGGCAGGGGCTGTGGTGCAGCTGAGAGGTGTCGCTCAAAGGACACGGACACAGCCTCTCGGGCAGTGGTATGGCCTGAAGAGATCCACTGAACGAGGTAAGGACTGCAGTCACCAGCATGCTGCTGTAAGTGCCTGAAAATAACTGAGGAACTACATTTAGGCTTCTTTATTGCAAATCAACCTGAGGGTAAAAACAAAACAGAGAAAAAAGGACAGAAGCACCTTCAGATAGGTATAATTAATTTCCTTTTCTGTAACATGTAGAGCATGAGGACTTCTGGGGAGTATTTTCTTTAATGGTAGACAACATTGAGGAGTGTAATGATAACCATCCATAGGGAATACTTTTTCTTGCATATTATTATTTTCTTTCGTTCAGTACATCAGCTGCTTCTGCTATGATCTCTCAACGATTGCATTAAACAGACTTTCTTCAGACACTTTGAAGACGTGAAAAAATTGCTGCTATGCTGGGATGATGGAGGTTTCTTGCTGTTGTTTGCAGAATGTCAGTGATGATTGCAGCTGCTTCTCACTGTGGTGCAGCCTGGCCCAGAGAGGAGGTTGCCCGATGCACTCCTCTAACTGACTCACGTGGCCTGAACCTGCCCTGCAGGCCCAGAGGTCATCCTGGCCTCTCCTGAGCACGCTGCCTGTGCAGACCACGCAGGAGACTGTCCTGCCTCTGCTGGCCCAGCCAGTGATGTCCGGAGACAGACAACCCACTAAATATCTACCCACTAAATATCTATCTAATTGTGCTTTTCCTAAAACCGGAAGCTCAAAACACTTCTTAAGTGAATAAAACGCAAACATGTTTAATTCACTGAATATGAGGACAGGAGCTACCAAGGAGTCTCACCAACAAAGGAGGAAATGGCTGCCAATCTACACAGCTCTGATGGTTTAAAGTGAAATTCATAGTTTGAAAGTGATGGATTAAAAGGATATATCCTGTTTTTCACA